ATTGGTTACCCGTAAGCCAATCACATAACGCAGTCACCGGGGTTAACTCTTTCTCCGAGTTAAACATCACCTCCATTCAAAATGTTTAACAAACACTCTTCTTGTTCGGGCTTCAGTTTGCAAATGCCGGGAATATTCTCCACAACAGAGCGAATTGCATCCCGTGTCTCCATATCTGCAGTCGTTTTCGATTTCCCTAACCTAAAATACAATATTAAACTCGACGCTTACCCTTTTTTTTTTTTTTTCTTTTGCTGATTTCAAAGCAGCCGTGTGAACTTAGCCTGACTACGTCAGACTACGTGCTTCTGCTTTGAAATCAGCAAAAAAATAAAATAAAAAAAGTTTACCTGTTTTCGTTGGGCAGAGTAAAAATGACAGTCATGTTCTTCAGAATTTTAACACAATTACTTTTATTGTATGGAAAAAAGCAACTTTTGTGTCCAATGGGAAAAAGTCAAGCGAGTTGAGAATTATTATTGTGCAAACAAATTCCGTAATGACTTTTATTAAGGGACATACGACACAAGTCGTTATTTTAAGGAGACATTTTTCTTTATAAAGACGTTATTTTTCTTTCTGGTTTATTTAGTTGTTTATATGTATGTACTGTATTACTGTGATCATGTTCATTTGTATGTGAGCATTTATTATGCTTGTTTATTTTTCCGCTTTTTTTCCGCTTCTGATGCTTCTACTGTGCATGAGATGCTTTTCTCAATTAAAAAAGAAAGAAAGAAAATAATGCAATTCTCAATTAAAAAAGAAAGAAAGAAAATAATGCAAGTCTGATTCAAAGTCTTATCACACACACTCTAAAGTGTCTCTAACTGCTAGGCCACAACTCCGACTACAAATCATCATTAACCCAAAGATTCAACATTTCCATAACACAAATCAAGCTTAACCACACTCTCGAGCTCCAATTGACCCAGCCAAACATCTGATCTAAGTTAAACCAGCACACAATCAAAACATGGATTGACAGCAGACCACAAACATCTGTTGCTGCTCGCAGCTGATGTTTTGAAACATATAAATCAATAGGATGATCAGTAAATCCCACTCGGAACTGTCACAATATTATGCATGAGTCTGAGAGAAGTCAGAGAGGCCGAGGCTTTCGTTGAAGCAGCATGAAATGCCTGCTCGTATCTGCATGCGAAATGTAATTATGGAATCACCCAAGTGAGCTGGGCCACACATCTGCCACAGCATCTGGCGGGCTCTCATCTCGAGTCGCCCGCTCCGTTCTGTACAATTCAAATTCCATGCCTACAAGCACATTAACGCAGATTACAAAGCGCTCAATCTCTACTTAAGGTTCATTCTCCGCTCAGGGGACAATAGAGGAGATTTGTGTCTTTTAATTTTGCAGATTGCTGTGCGTTACTCTCAAATGAGATGCATTTGCATGAAAGGCTTCGAACAGTTTGCCAGGTTCCGGAAAGATGGATTGAAGCCGATGTGTTACTGTAGGCGGCAACGCAGATTTTGGCATTTAACTGTGAATTGAAGCAGACAAAATTTCTTCTGAATCCCAACTGCACGAAAGCTTGGTTAATTTCCGATCATTAGTTTAAACTTTAGGTTAATAAGATCACCGGTTTTGTAGGAGAGAAAAGCATTAGACATCTTCCTCTTTCCGTCTGCTAACTTCAAAACTTTGAAACTTTCGTCTCCAAACTTTTTTCGAATGCGAAAATTGTATGCAAAAAACAAAAACAAATGTTCAGGTCACATTTCACCCCCAAATTAAAATTAATAGTTACATTTTTTTAATACTAAAAAGTGTATCTAAATCAGCATAAATTAATTCAGTTCAACAAATATCATGATGTAGAAATACTTTTTTCAAAATAATAATAAATTGTACATTTTTTATTGTTGATACAAATAATAAAAAAACAATACTTTTTTAAATGATTATTATTATAATATTTTTAAAATAATGGCTTTATTTAATTTTCACAAGGTAATACAAAATGTGGCTTTTTTACATTATTCATGATAACTGATAGGGAAATGTGCTTGATTTAAAAACAAAAAACAAACAAACAAAAAAAACGCCAAAGGCAGAAATTAAATCTTAACCATCTTAAAGTAGTCTTAAAATTAAAGTATAATATCTTGCTTTCTATTGATTTTGGTGCAAACATGTTACAGACAGAGATTCACCCTTAATGCACTCAACTTTTAATACCTACATTTCAGTTTCATGCTTGACTTTATCTTAAAATTGTATCCCATTTGCATGCTGTGTAATCTCAAGCTAATAGAGAGAGAGAGAGAGGTACTTTAAGTGAGTTGGTCGGGGTGGGTAGACAGGTAAGAGGCGAGCCAGCGCGGGCAGTGAGCCTGCAACTCTGACACGTCCTGCTGTGGCTCAGCAGTGAACTAAGACAGCCCATCACTTCACTGTCAGCACTCTGACCCCCCTCCTCCCTCTCTCTCTTTCTCTCGCCCACTCCCCCACACACACAAGCCATTGGCTTTGAGTCGGAGTAGAAGGACCCCCCACCCTCCATGCCTGGACCCCCTCTCAACTCTGTGAGTGATGGCCTGAATGATGACTCTGACCCTAAACCCTGGACTGACCCAGAGTCTCACCAGCCTCACACAGTCATTCTCTCAAAGCCAGAAAGAATGAATGATAGCTCATGTTCTTTAGAAAGAACTGCAGACAGTTTTACAGCAAATACGGTCATGATGAATATCACAAGTAATATATAAATGAGACATTTTTTGGTTGAAGGATTTGTTCACTTTAAAAGTATGTTTATTAGTTTTTCCAAGTCTTCTGAATTCCTCAAATCGCACATGACACTTACAGTATGGTGCAGGTTTGACATTTGAAACGTGTTTATATATATTATTCAATAATAATAAAAAAAAAAAAATCATAAATAGTAATCTGACAAAACATATTTTCTGCAACCTAAACTATAACTGTCAGATAATTTGACTTTTTTATGACAAGGCAAGGTTAAAGTCGGAATGCAATTAAAAGTAGAAAGAAACACATCTTTTCTGCCGTTTTGTGGCGTACATCTGAGTGAAGCGGAATATCAAAAAAATAAAAAAAATGTATGGCGGGGGTTCTATCCTTTGGTTTTGATTGGACAAATTGTTGTCATACGTCAGAGAGAAGTCTGTCATTATGGAGGATCCACATTTTGATAAAAAATTATGGCTTTTTTTTTTAAAATGAAACATGAATTTATGAAGAGTTTTTGACCTGGACACCTCTTACAAAAAAGTATACTTTGAGTTAATTTTAACTATACCCAAGTATACTTTATTCTGTCTTCATTTAGTTTACTATTAAATAGATGTAGCACATTTCTTTAGTTAATGAAAGTACACTTAGAAGTTTACTCTTGGTAAACTACTAATTTACTCGTTGTAAGTTAAACATACATAGTTTACTATTTATATATTATTTTTGCACTTTAAATATACTACTATGTTCCTATTTAGGTATATTAATTTTTACACTTGAAATACAACGGTACTTTAACTCTTTCCATGCCAGCGTTAAAAAAAAAGTTGCAACTCAGTTTAGTTTAGTTTGTCAGCAAGTATAGTTTTATTTATTTACTTTAAGTATATTTCTTAAGTCCATTAAAAAGTATTAAAAAAAAAAATCCAAACAAGTTGTTTAAAAATCACATTTCATATTCATTACACCCTTCTGGCCAGGTTTTCCCTGAGACAGGGTTATGAAGAAAAGGCTTTTTCATATTTTCCCTGTCTCAACTCATTAGCAAGCTTTACCGCTCTTCTTCATTCTTTCCCTCCTCAGTGGCGTATACTCTCTCTTGCATATGGCTTCACTCTGTGAAGAGGACGTCCCGCCGTCAGCGTGCCTCATTCTCTTTGGTGCATGTTGGCTGGGCTCCACGGTGGAGTTGAAGCCAAGACATGTCTAGATAGCCCATCAAAAAACACTCTATGTGAGCCCACACTCAGAGATCTGGTGCTTCTGTGAACTTCATTACTGAAAGTCTCATTATCTAATAAAAGAATGCCAAATTAGATGTATTTGCAGGTCAAGAAAATAAAGAAGAATGCCTTTTTTAGCCAGGTGCTACATCATAATCTGAGTGAAAGCTTTTCCAAAAGCCGTTACCAAGGCCAACTTTTGAGTCCTTCTACGAGCGTGATAACTCTGGGATGTTTTTTCATGCCCACATGTCCGGTAGCTATAAGCAGGGTGTTTTGCGTTTCCACCGAGGGGTCAAACTTAGTGTTAAAACAGGGAGAGATCAGATCAGCCAACTAGGGCTCTTTCTAATCGCCCTGATGGAAAAGTGTCGTTTTTTCGGAAGCAGGAGTCAGCAGCAGGGTGAGTTATTGTGAAGTGATGGACTACCTCGGACCAGGAGCAATCAAAGAGATAGCCCTTGCATCTCCAAATTACTGCTGCCCATGTCTCAGATTCATCAACAGCGTGCTGGTGGCGATGCCGGCCAGGAGGCTTTGTACAGTTGTAGCCCCCAACCCCCCACCCACAATAGAACGAAGCACTCAGAATTATTTGTGGAAATGAAACCTCTGTAGCAGACGACTGGATCAGTGCCTTCACCTTTTCCCACTCACTGAAATTAAATGACATTTATTTTCTGTGGCAACAATGCATGGGAAATGTTTCAAAACGGCTGATTCCGGGAGCGATGCGATGAGGTGGCTGCCTGCTCGGCCTGTGTGCGTTGATTGATGGAAGTGATGTAAGAATCTGCGTGTGACATCGCTAAGTGCGTAAACTAATGGAGGAATTTCATTAGTCTCTTTTCCAGAATCAAAATCGTTGCCGTTAAAGAATTTTTTTCATCAACACAGCGGATATTAAGTGCAAAAAGCAATTGTGCGTAATACAAATAGCATGTAATTATGCTAAGAGGACGAGACGTTTTTATTCTGAACGCGGCACCAAATGTTTTCTTCACCCCATCTCACCTTCGTACTTTCTGAACCAGACAAACAAACGATGCATAATTGGAAATTTCATTTAATGTGTTTATTGATTCTGTCTATTTTCCACTCGGCTATCTCATACAATATTACCAGCTTTGGAGTACAGTCGTCCAAACTTGTCAAAGACGTGGCAGGTGGTGAAGACGGTCTTGAAGGGCTGAAATGATAAGCACATTGATTGGATGTCAGCAGTTTAAAAAAAAAAAGTTTTACACTCAACAGAGATGGTGCAATTATTAGTTTTTCCATTTGGCTCCCTCCCTCCCTCACACACACACACACACACACACAAACACACACAAAAAAATAATAAAACATATGCTTCCAAAGGAAAATGTTATTGCTCAGAACGTGCTCTTTCACAGCTCAGGAAAATTAGTGAGTACTCAGTTATGTTGAAGTATCAGAAAATTCTTTCGGAATAACTTTTGGGATCAGTAAGATTACTATACTTTTATTCAGAATTAAATTTCTATTTCATATAAATGCTGTTCCTTTGAATGTTCTATTCAAAGAAGAAACAAATCTAGTATGTTTTCCACAAAAATGTTTCTTGGCCTACAAATCAGCATGTTAGAAAGATTTCTGAAGGATCATGTGACACTGAACCCTGGAGCAATGATGCTGAAAATTCAGCTTTGTCATCACAGAAATAAATTACATTTTAAAATATAAAATAAGGCAGAAAACAGTTAAATTGTGATAGTATTTAGCAATATTACTATTTTATTGTATTTTTCATCAAAGAAATGCAGCCTTGGTGAGCACAAGAGACTTCTTTCAAAAACATAATCTTGCTTTTAAAAAGTCAAAACTTTTTAATGGTAGTTAGTGTAAATAACAAATGCATGTATATATTAGAGATATTACTGTAAATTGAGAGACAACGATTATTTATAATTTTATAAGGATAGAATAGCTGAAAAAATGTGGTTTGTTAGGAAAATTAGACGAATTCATGTTAGGCGAGTTCATATTGAAATTTGACTTTTGATGGCAGATTGTCTTTACAAATCTTAGCAGCACTATTTGAGACATAATTGAGATCTATTCTGAAATTCTAGAGTAGACAGATGACTAAGCTCTTTACCCAGAAGAAAAATATGGAAACTAGTCCCAATTTGTTCTCAATTTAACCTTTTTGCCATCTATGAGAAAAAAGTGAGAAATTCAAGATATCCCATAAGTGATTTTTCTTTCTTATAGGCTCATATAAGATTTCAAATGCGAGTTTTTAGCTCAAGACGTGGCCTGGCGAGTGGATCGCTCGTGCTCCAACGAAGAGCATATATGTGAGTAAATCGCATCCAAATCATCCATTTATCCATCCATTTTCCAAACTATTTGTCCAATGTAGGGTCGCAGGGATGCTAGAGTCTGGACGGATGAGCAGTCATTTTATTTCCAAAAACATTAGCGCTAAGTGAGTGAATTCTGTTATAAAGTTTTATAAAGTTTATTCAGTTCATCAACTGTGCTCTAACTGTCACTATAAATATTTTACAACGACAACAAAAGCTAATATGATTGTATCTCCACTCAGATCTAAAATGAACAAAAACAAACAGTATCAAAATCTTTCTTCCCTGATGCCTGGATGACCACACCAGCCTCACAGTAGTTGCTGTGACTAGCAATGACTCTTTATCACTGCTCTAACACATTCTCCCAGTCATCCAGTAAATGATGAAAACACAAGCCACAACAAATCCTGCCCTCTTTTTCGCAGCACTGCACAAAAGATCTGCGTCAGATATTTTTAGTTGGACTGGATTCAGCTTTTGCTAGTGGCCTAGTTGCTGCAGCAGCTACACAGGCTGTCTCGGAGCATCTCTCAGAGCAAATTGGCTCTCAGTGACCCCCCCTAGAGGCTGACCTGGTCTAAAACACGCAACCTGGATCTCCACAACCGCTTAATGCAAGAGCCTGTGAGAAGCACCGCTGTGTTGGAATGAAAATATCAGACTGGAGTAAGAATGGAAAGAGGAAAGGGAGGAAGGAAGGAAGGCAATTTAATTATATATTTCATTTTTTTTAAGACTAAAAAAAGCCGAAGTTGAGCAAGGACAAACTAATGTCATAGACTGGGGCGCTGACTGTTTCCCTCTGGCAGGCATGCATGTGATCCTTCTGTCAGTCAGCGTACGCCACCATGACAATCATCTGTGTGTCTTGGCCTCGGGAAACGCTGCAGCTAGCTGTCCTTGTAAACAGCACTCCACACTAACTCTAACAACTGCACAAGAAACGCAAAAGGACATCATCTCCAAAGTGTAAAATAGGGTAATTCACATCGTTCACAACACAACAAAAATCGAACAAATTCTTCTGATTTCTGTCCCACAACAAGGCTTAGCTTATAGATGCATAATTAATGGCTAATGACGGATGTTTGTTGGTGTATCAACGGCTTTAGGGTTAAAATACGGAGATAATAAGGATCATGCAGTAACCTGTTATTTTATCGTTGATTAAAAAGTATTAAGTGTTTCAGAATTCTAGTAGCTATTTATAAATCAAACTATTTCTTTTAACATTTAACAAATGGCCTTAATTGGAATCAGCGAGACACGTTTCTAAAGTGCCCTCAGTCCTTCTGAATATATGAAATGAATCTCTCCTCTAGCTGATGTTCTTATTTGTCACGTCAACCTGTTCTCTTAAAATAGCTGTAACCCATGTTCTTTGTTATCTCTCACCTCAGTGTGTTTCATTTAACAGCAGGGGAACAACAGCGGACTTCAGATAAGCACTCAGGGCACTTAGACACTTTTTAGCCCATGGAACCCATATTTTAACCAAGCATTTGTTGCCTCTCTCGCCAACATTACCCAATAAAAACAGACAAGGGATAAAAAAATATGAGATTGATTTATTTGCTCCAATGTTCTTCGGAATGAAGCTTTTCTATTTTTTCCCCTCACAACTGAAACCAATTAGCACAGCTAGCACTTGTAGTGCAGAAGGTAGGTCAGCCTGGAGTAATAAAAAAGTATTGACTTTTCTCTGACTGTAAGCAGGCTGAAAGGGGTGCCGCGGCCTTGTCGTACATGAAAAGAGCTCCATTAATTTCACTTATTTCAAGAAGGGCCCCTGTCAAGTCCTAATGCGTCCAATGCACTTTTCGCATTCATACACGCTGACATCCTAGCTGGGCCTCAGCCGAAATGACTTTACATTATTTTAGCTAGTGAGAAGTTGACGGCGTAATTCCCACTGCACAGCTCTATACAGGCCAGTAGGGAAATGGCAGAGGACTCTTTCATACGTGGCTACTCCTGATCAGGCCCGGCACCACGAGGGGGCAAACAGGGGCATTGCCCCTCAGATCTGATTTGTGCCTCCTCAGTTACAATTTGTACCCCTCCACCCCCAAAACCCTTTGATGCGTACGATCACACCGGTGTGATTAGAACATTCAGTGCATCACATGATCAACTGCTAAATTCAAATGTGCTTTTGCACTTCGGCTGGCGCTGAGCCAGAAATGTTCAGTGGTTTTCATATATCTCAACCATACTGTATGTTTTCAGCCAGTATTTTAGATTTTAGACATTTAAATTGAGTAGCAAAAAATAAAAACAAAACATTTATAGTTCACTAAATACACACTGAAGCGGCAATAATAATCCTTTTAATTATAATTGGACATTGTGTTTTATTCATATCAGCTAACTATACATATCACTAACTATAAGGGCCATTTTATTTTTCTACTTGTTCACCAGCCACTTTTATGTATTTTGAGAGAAATGGATGCATTGATGAGATTTTATGATTTATGAAGCCCATCCCCCCATATTTTAATTGAAGATATGTCATAATAACTATGTATATCAATTATGTATTTATTTTGGATTTCACTTTAACATATTCAAGAGTGGCTGCAAAGACTAATTAAGGCATGCAAAAATTTGATCAGTGAAACTCAAATTTTATTTAGTGGATAATCATTGTGCTTTATCAGCTGAATGCATTATCTAAATCCCTAATGTCATTTTCATTATCTCTTCAGAATGCTGTAGAATATGACAATTAAGTCAGTGAAAATCATACATTTGTTATGATCAAGCTATTTCAGGTGACATGACCCCAATGTGGCTCTCAATCAGCTAACACACAGACAATTTCAGTAAGATTAACTGACAATACCAGAATGATGCATTTTTGGCAGTTACGCAATGTTGTGTGGGTAAAGTAATCCTTCTGTGTCTATTGAAGAGACCTAGTGCATGCCATCTAGAGATTTCTGCTTAGTTATTACCTGCAACAGTCTCATATAATTGGCATGTGAACACAAATCCCTGTCCTTGGAAGCTAACGTACAATAATTCTGATTTCATTAATTCAATCACACTGTGAAGAGAAAAATAACTTCCATTTATGCAATGCAAAAAATCCAATAGCTTTCAAGTAGCTGCACAAGCCACAGCACAGATGAAATTCAGAAGGGTCTGTTTTCATTGTCAGAATGACAGAGGAAACCAGTTCATATTTAAATTAAAATGCATAAAGAAAAGCACAGATGAAGGAGACTGTGTAAAGGAAAAGGGGGTTAGAAAAGTACATAGCACTGTGGAGTAATTTTTATCTCACTCTGCCCTGCAATACAATGTTTATTTGCACTGTGCATTTTAGATGCTTTAAGTTTAAGTGTAAAAAATACACAAACATGAGAGCCAGAGGTGTGTTCATTTAGTTTGTTTTGTCTGAAGGCAAATCAGGCAGTGCTTCCACAAACTAAATATATAAATATCTTTTAAATAAAAATACTAATAAATATAACAAAATCTGAAATCATTACAATGCACATGTCGTAACTTTTAGAGTCATCCAGAATTGACAGTTAAATTTGCTGCTAACGGATGGTATGAATTTTCTAAATGTTTAAGTCAAAGGCCATTTCAAATCAGTTTTCAACACATTATATTTATTTACTATTTATATGAATGACGATAAAAAAGGAAATGCTGACATAATAGAAGAAGGTGTAAAGTTAATTGATACATATGTAAGAAAAAAGTGAGAGGCATGTCAGGCGAATTGTTTATTACGTGGCAAATGAAGGGGCCGAGGGATTTTATATCCCTATAAAATGGAAATAGTGAATCACCCAGAGGCTCTTGGTCACTAATGTAGTCCGGTCTGGGATATGAGCATATGTGTGTGTGTGTATAATAGAAACACTCACATGCCATTTTCTATCCTGGAGTCAAAGTAGGTTGTCCTACTTTTATATCACTTATTTATTGCTCATTATGAATATCATTCGCATTTAAACACACCTCATATATCACACGTATCATGGTGATGCATTATTCTGCCATGATTAACAAGAGCAGCCACTAACAAAGCATAATTTTAGGCTAAATATTCCAGTTGCCTACAACAATAATTAAAAAAAAAAACTGCTCCAGTTGTGCTTAGAGGCGATATTCAAGGGGGGACAATGGAGATGGGGGTCTAGCAGAGGAAAAAGCAATTACTGAAGCAACATTAGAATAGAAGAGAGAGAAAATAAATCTATGCCTGTGTTGGTATTCCGGCGCTAAGATATATCAGTTTGAATAGATGATTGATGAAAGTCTAATGTAAGGCGACGGAGAGGCTTTTGCACAGAGGCAATGCCACCACCAGCACTTTATTAGCCACCGTAATTAGCCCTGGTGGTTCAATTTGTTAGAATTGGTTGTGATGATGCAAAAATCAGATCGCAGGGCAGGCTAGTCAGGGGCCAGCATACACCCTGATGAAGGGTCATTCTTGTCAAGGGGCTATTAACTAATGCACTAATTACAGAGGAGAGGGAACAGCGCGGCACCCGTGCCTCTCTGTCTGTCCGCATCACTTCTGATCCACAACTGGGCTGACAACACACCGCTGTGGACCGTCACTTCATATCTTAAAGAGCTAAAATCATTGTAATTCCGCCTTTCACTGACTCCTTTTAAGTTTTTTTTTAAACTATGAGCACATTGTAGACATTCATAAATTAAACTCTCTTAAAAATGGGTACACTTTTTTTGTTATTGCTCAATGCTCAGACTAGTGTATTTTATCATACCAATGTATGTACTGTACACATGCATCACAGAAATTTACCAAGACCGAAACCAAGTTGAGACCAAGACTGAGACCAAGTCTAGACTGAAGGGGATACATTCTGTCCCCTGTTACCTGCCAAAGTAAAAGCAGTTGCTGATTGGCCAATTTTTACAGGCGATTCATTCGGAATTTTAGGCAGGTCGCCCTGCCACTGACGAATCTCACTTCCACACGAATGAGTTTCTGTTGGAGGCTCAGGATGCGTTTGAAAGTTTGAAGAGCCGCTTTGTTTTGGCTCCTATTCTCACCAACCCTGACCTGTCTCGTCAGTTCATTGTGGAAGTAGATGCGTCAGAGGTAGGAGTGGGGGCAATATTGTCCCCGAGTTCACCTTTGGAGGACAGAGTACACCCATTCGCTTTTTTTTCCTCATCATCTCACCCTTTCAGAACGGAATTGTGACATCGGGAATAAGGAGTTATTGGCTGTTAAGTTGGCGCTGGTGGAGTTGCGTCACTGGTTGGAGGGCGCGGGGGTTCCATTCTTAGTTTGGATTGACCATATGAATTGAGTATATTCGTTCCGCTAAAAGACTAAATTCTCGGCAGGCTCGCTGGGCACTGTTCTTCGGCCGGTTCAACTTTAACATCTTGTATCGCCCGGGTCGTAAGAATGGTAAACCCGACACGCTCTCACGGATTTGAGACAGAGGCTAGACCCACTTCTCCAGTGACAATCATGCCTCCCAACCAGGTGGTCGCGGCGGTTACCTGGAGAGTGGAGTCCATGGTTTGTGAAGCGTTTCATGGCTTCACTGTTCCCCGTCTGCTGTTTGTGCCGGAGTCGGCCCGAACAGGTGTTCTTCAGTGGGGCCAATCATCCAATCTAGCTTTCTTCCCACATGGAAACGGCTCAAATATCTCAAAATTATATATCTCAAAAAGAGAGAAAAAGTTAAAAAAAAAAAAATCTGCTGTGAAGTCCCTTTAAGTTGAATAAACATTTTTTCAACTTAACAGTTTTATAAAAAAAGACCTAGATTCAAATATCAGTGGTAAAGTTCATTAGTTATGTATCTGAGCATGTCTGAAGCCTCAGTAATTCTTCCTGCATCACTTCCTTTTATCTCCACAATTGAGATAAATCACCAAGCACTGCTTTCAGGTTAAAACATGTTAATCTGGGAAATAACACATCTCAAGGTGTGGGTCCTATGAGGGGTGGGATGAACAAATGAATGGAGAAGAAAGGAAAAAGAGAATGGGTATAATTAAATCAGAGATGCACTTGGAAATTACCATATCCATCATTATCTTCATGCGAGTCAATGCAAGGGAAAAAAAGCGAGGGGCATATGAGATTTATTAAAAAAAATGGTTTGTCTGCAACGTACTTCTCATTGGTAACCGTCAAAGGTAGGCAAACGTGGAACATTTATCAAGCCACAGACAAATGACACTGGGTTACTAGTTAGACAGTGTAATAAGTGCCATCTAATTTCCTCTTTAGAATCAATTTATGTTTCAAAGCTTGGGATCATCATCAAGGAAAAAAGCTTTTACGGAGAGAAACTAGTTTAAATTTATTTTTCACGTAACGTTACACTGAATTTTTAAGCCCTTTTCAAGATTTATGCATTTCAATTAATAGTAAAATTCCATCAAATTGAATTGAATGATCCTTTCATATTTTAATTGAATAATCTTTACATATTTTATAAGGATTATTATAAGGAGTGAACCTAAGCAAAACTACTTTATTCAGGCCTTTTATGTTTTCATGGGGAAATATCTGAATTATGAACAATGTCATATTCTTATGTTTATTTTTTTAAAATGTTAAAATATTTTACATAAAAAAAAACTTAATGAAAATGTACTCAATGGGAGACAGTATTTTGTTATACAAGATAGAAATACATATTCCAATTGCGGTTTGCATAAATCTAATATCCGAATCAAACCCATCGAGAGTACCGTCATCTTAACATACATAATTCTCATGGGAACATCAGTGCCTCTGGCGCCTGGGTCTCGGTGTGACCCGGGTTAAATGGAGGGCATCTTTTAGAGTACATTACTCTCTTAGAAGTCTAATGCATTTTGATTAATCAAAAACAGCTCTGCAGTCGCACTCTTCAGAGAAGGAACGTAAATAAATAAATAAGCAAAGAAAATAATTAGAAAAAGCAAAACATACCCAGTACCCCCCAGTGATAGAGAAATGGATGGGCTCCTTGATGATGAGGTGGGAGAGAATGAGCAAGTTTGTCCAGATAACTTATCAAAGTAGTGTTGAGGAAAAAAAATAATCCATTCAAAGCAGAAATGCAGTGTCTATGTTGCATGAGCTTGTTGCATTAATTACAGACACTGAGGCAGCTTTGCCAAGGGTTAATGAGTCTGGCATGTGCCAACAGATCAAACGCAAGAATGCCATGAACAAAGTTGTCGTTGGTTACTTCTGCCAGTCTGTTCATGCTCAAGTAAAAAAAAGAAAAAAAAGAAGAAAAAGCTAATTGGAATTTTTTTTTTGTAATTGTGAGTTTATATCTCATAACATACTCTATAAAATAATCCCAATAAATTGTGTCTCCAAATATGAAGATATCTTATAATATAAGATTTTTTTTATTTTACATGTGTCTTTCTATTTCACAACATAAAGAAATAAAGTCATATACAGTATATTTAGTGCATTTGCCATTTAAAAGGGGTTTTTTAATGCTTTTGAATGAAGTATCCTATATCCACTAAGGCCGTATTTATTTAATGAGGAATACATTAAAAACAGAAAAACAGTACTAGTGTGACATTACAATTTAAAATAACTGTTTTCTTATTTTATATATATATATATATATATTTTTAAAAAGTTTGTTTCTGTGATAGCAAAGCTATTCAGCATCATTACTGTCTTCAGTGTCACATGATTCTTCAAAAATCATTCTAATGCTTCTGATTTGGTGCTCATAAAATTTGTTATGTTATAATATATTATCAATGTTGAAAACAGTTGTGCGATTAAATATTTTCCTTAATATGACCTTTTTTCAGGATCTTGATGAATAGAAAAAAGTTCCAAAGAACAGCATTAACATAAAATACAAATCTTATTAATGTAAATGTCTTTACTGTCACTTACTGACCCCAAACTTTTGAACAGTGTGGTCTACATGTTAGTGTGGTAAAGCTCTTCTTGGTGGGGAATCACCCCTGAGGCTGAGGGTTTGCCTCCTGTTCAGCTATGGATCAGTGATAATCCTTAAAATGGTGTCCTCTGCCACATCAATTATGCTGATCACAGGCACGCTCATTATGCTGAGTCTTCATTACTGTCACCAGCCTAAGACCATCACGGTATAAATCAGGACATACTGGGCCACTTTCCAAAAGTATCAGAGAGAAGCATGTACCACATCTTTTAACCTGTGACGTATTACAGAATGGCTTGGATATAGTTCAACTAGACCAGTGTCTGATGTATTCTGGGAATGACCTGATGAATTCTGTACCCTGTAAAAAAAAAGTCCCAAATTTTATGCCATAGAGATAACGATTAAAACACAGAGCGGAACCGAGGCGCCACATCTAGTAGCAACCAAGCATACATGAGCGGTGTCAGCAGTAGGGGCTCTTATTTATTTCATTCCGGAGGAGGTATTTCTGGGCAATTGCGCTGGATGCAGAGGGTAGTGCCTGCTGGTAAGAGCCAATAAAGAACTCTCATCCATGAACGGCCTTCAGCAGAGACACAGTCAATTACCTAATGTGAGGACTTTGAGGGGGGGAGAAAGCCTTTTCTCCTCATTTACTTGTGGGTATTTATTAAATTGCTGTCAAATTTGACAAATTTGCGACGCTCAACGTGGAGGTTGTATTGGTGGGGGTGCGTGGGTTCACCCCCCCATCACCATCACAGATCCCATATCCCTCATTCAGAGAAATGCCAGCACACAATGCGTTTTGGCAGTTCTACATGTGCATCCTAGTGAAACGTGTACCTTTTTCCCCTGGAGGTCCTCCTCTCGGAAGTGCTTGGTCCCATATGCCACCTGCTCAAAGGGGGTGGAGGTGTGCATCAGGCCCTCGTACCGCTTATTTTGGCTTGTATTTAAAGATGGAAGAAAACTGTGTGGCAAAAAAACACAAAGACATAGGAATTAAAATACTTAATTAGCTAATATACTATGAGTATTATTTATTTGATCAACATACATAAAAAAAGTTTTGCATAAAATATTATCTAAGTTTTCTATTGTACTAGATTTTTTAATCTGATGGCAAAGCTGAATTTTCAGCATCATTTCAGTTTCACATGCTCCTGCAAAAATCCTTATTTTGCTGATTTGGTCCTCACAAAACATTTTTTTTTTTATTATAATCAATGTTGAAAACAGTTGTGAGGCTTGATACTTTAATGGAAACCTTGCTACAATTTTTCAGAATTCTTTGATGAACCATTCATTTGAAATAGAAATTTCGTTACTGTCATTTATGATCAATTTAGTGTGTCCTTGTTGGATGAAGTATTAATTTATTTAAAAAAAATTAAATCAAATAATCGCACTGACCCCAACATTTTGACAGTAGTGTATATAAATAGGCAAAAATGGGAACATATTTTTTAACACCAGCTTGTTGTATGGAAAAGGGCATAACCTCAGTGTCGGCCCCATTACTGGCCTCTGGTCTTGGCTAACGCGACTGCTAAGAGCTAACACTCTGCTATTTTCACAGCACAGCACATGTTACTTCTACATCATCACATTGCCTCATCCCTCCCTCGCAGGCACTTTTCATTCTAGTCCAGATCATTTCCAAACCCAAATCGCTTCTTAATCGTTGTGATGTCTTGTGGTTGTTTCTGCACATGCTGCGAGTTTGCTGGGCACACGTTCAGTGCAAAGAGCGGTTACTTAGGAAAAATGCCAGATGTTAATTACAGCGAGGTTGATTTTGTAAATTGTACCCAAGACACTTTGCCTGGAGGAAGATTTATCCAGTGCGGTACAAGAGGTGTCTGCGCGAGGCTGGGTAAACGTCCGCTGGGCATTGGCTTGGCTTGTCACAAAACAAACAAACAACCAACAACCTTGGCACTTTCTATGAACACAATCTACAAAGAAAGGTTTTTTTTATTCCCAATGCTTCGTTCCATTTTATGATGATGAAACCAGAAGTGCAGGTGAAGCCCTGTCCTCTTAATGAAATCAAAACATGATTTCAAATATGGAAAATGTAACCATAATCGCTCCAACTGGAAAAGTTTAAAGTTTGCAATCCATTGCAAAACTGTCATAAATTCAGAGTAAACCCCCCCCCAAAAAAACCCAAATGGGATTATCTAAACACACATAAGATGAAAGACTGTCTCATATTTTTGAATTAATGCTTTTTGAAAGAAATATATATATAACCAATAGTTAAACTTTCTGGCAGTTTGAGTTTGTTTGACACTCTCTTTAGTTATCTCCTCAAAGAACCATCCTGAACAAGATCATTATTTATTAGAGGACTTCTCCTGTCATGTAAGTACCACATAAGCAATAATGCTTGGTAAAGCTTTGATGGTGCAAGGTAAAAAAGGGGGTGACATCAAACACCACGCTGGCCCTTTAAATAATGGCCCAATCTCCCACAGACATCCTTATCCACTAGAGACACTAGCCTCCCTACAAGACAGATTACAGTGCAACCCATGCTAATGTGCACATGGGACGGACATCACAGAGCAAAAATTAATGTGGCCCCAATGTCCCAGAATACACAACACTTCTGCTGCTTGCCGGCTGTTTCACTTACTGCTTTCATTGCCACTGAATTGCATTTTAATAGGGTAGTTTTTATTCATTGAAAGCCATTAAGGAAAGTTTGACTTCTCGCAGGGGATCTTTTGGCAGTGCAGACCAATGCCCAGTGACAACACCCTAGGAGGCCACCGAAACAGGAAAAGGGGGAGTGCAAGAGGAAGTAAAATGAAAGAACAGAGAAGCAGGGGGAGAGAGAAATATGTATAGATGTATGTATTCAGTCTTTCTTAGCACATTTGTAAACCAAACTGCAGGGTAACACTTTTAAACATAATCAAATAAAAGATCAAATGAATGAAAGAAAGAACAATAGCTTTTAGAAATCATTCCAAGAAATTATTAAAAAGTAATTCAAATTTATTTAAAAAAAAGTTAATTTACCTAATGTAGTATTATTTAGATTAAGTTTATTTACCAAATGAAGCATTAGTTTACCTGATAAAATATTTTAGTTCTGTAGTTCTCAACGATCCTATTTTAAATACTTTTTAAATATCAATACTTCATAGTCCAAGTACTTAAATTCTCTGTCAGACTAATTTAGTCCACTATGTAGCTGTTTTTTTCTCTAAATCATGGTAATCCATCCCAGCATTATCTGCATCGGAGACTGAAGAGACATCACTAGGACTGAAATTAAGCTGGCGGTGGAAAAAAAAAAGGAGCTGCAACATTTTGGTGGCTCTTTGAAACATTTCAGAGGAAATTAGTGAAACGAGAGTAGGATTCTGGATCAAAAAGACTCTAATCATGCTTCGCCATGCCCTGCAGACACCACGTGTATAATACGATTTACACAGTAACCACCTCTCCTATTACAGCCTGTTTGGGGTATTCTGTGTTAATGGGGTTAGCTAATTTACTGTTTAAAGTCGGAGCAAGAGGAAAAAAAATTAAACATGATTAAAAAACATTGCACATTGAGCTTGTAATTAAAATAAAACGGAGGGCTTTTAAAACAGAGATGGCACTAAAGTAAAGAAAAAAAATACAGTATTTATTATGGTAATCTGCTTCAATAATTATATAACAGAGAAGACTAATAATGCTAATTATGTATCAGCAGGGATGAAACAGTATAGGGCTATTATTAGTTGCTGTTGTTTGTTAACTTATTTAGCAACTAACCCCACTTGAGATTTTACCATCTGCTTCAAACTTTGAGAGGATAAAATGTGGGGCGTCTTTAGTGTCATTAATGTGCATCTACACAATGGCACATATACAATCTGAGCACTCAACAGTTTACATTATTACACTCGGAAACATAATTTTATGTTCATATTAACATCTACAGTGACCTCAAAAGTAATTGGACACTTAAGTTCACCCAAAAATCTAAATTAACCCTAACCCTACTTGATAATGAAGTGCAAACTTACTGTAAAAAAAAAAAAAAAAGATATACAGTGGCTCCGGAAAGTATTTAGACACTTTCATTATTCATATGTTTTTATGTGTTACTTGAAGGTATAGTTTGTTTTCTGTGTTCCACAGATGCCTTGAAGGTGAGTAAATGATGACAAAATTTAAAATTTTCCCTTCAAGCCACACTTACAAGTGTCAAAATACATTTTGGATCTTATTGAGACCTTGTACAGTTAATTTACACTTCATTATAAGTACTGCTACAGAATATGTTCCATTGCTACAAATCAATATATGCAAGCATTTCACACAATCTCTAGTGCAGCTTCTAGGGATGTGTACATGCTAGCACTTGTGTGTGCGCAACTTACGTCTGGTCGATGACGCGAGTCCTCCACTCCTGGCATTTGAGCTCCTCTCTGGCCTCCTCCAGGGCAGTGATGGATGTGGCCACGCGCAGGCTTGGCTCCAAGGGCCGCTGCCGCTGCTGCTGCACTTCCAGAGCTGGGCGAAAGGGCCCCTGACAGGTACGGGGGATAAGGTAAATGTTTTATTGCCCAAAACCGCCCGCCTCATTATTGATGAGGGCCCTGTGGACGGCCAGATGGACCCTCGAAAGCCCCAGTCTTTTCATCTAAGACATTAACACACCTGACCAGAGCTGATAATGTTACATTGACCATACAGTGAAGGGCCTGAAGAGGCCAAGGTGGTAGAGATTTCAAGTAAACGCACTAGATTTCACTACCCTTTACACATGCTGACAGAACAGCCATGTCAAAATTGTCTTTTTATGAAGAAAATAAGTGATATAGTTTATTTTCATGGATATTTGTACTGTTATGAGGGCATTTTTTTTCTCTAGAGTTTGTCTCTAACAATTTATTTGAATCAGTAAAAATGCAACAGCAATAAATTCTTAATGGATTAGTTCACCCAAAAATGAAAATTATGTCATTAATGACTGACCCTTATGTCGTCCCAAGCCTGTAAGACCTCCGTTCATCTTTGGAACACAGTATAATATATTTTAGATTTAGTCAGAGAGCTTTCTGTCCCTCCATTGAAAATGTATGTATGGTATACTGTCCTTGTCCAGAAATAAATAAAGAGATCATCAAAGTAGTCCATGTGACATCAGTGGGTTAGAGTTTTTTGAAGCATCAAATACATTTTGGTCAAAAAATATGTTGTCAAGCCACGTTCACGAGTCCGCAGTGTGATGCGGGTCACGAGTCATGAGTCTGATGACTTAAGACGCTGCTGAGGTGTATCTGTGTCCGTGTATTTGGGTTCAAATAAATACGGCTGGGCAAAAAAAAAAAGTCTTCCTCTGTGTTGAAATCCTTAGACATGTTTGCGAAGATTGTTTTGTTTATAGCATGCGTCTCCCTCAGACTGGAAACGAAGCTCGGGTGCAATGATAACACGTCAGCATCACTGAATGCGGATTGACAACAGAACCAGAAGAGAATACAACGCTGAATAAAGTCGTAGTTTTTGTTATTTTTGGACCAAAATGTATTTTCAATGCTTCAAAAAATTCTAACTAACCCACTGATGTTACATGGACTGCTTTGATAATGTCTTTATTTCCTTTCTGGACAAGTATTTTTTTTGAGCACAAAAAACTGACACGTTGATACCCATTTTTTTTCAGATGTGTTAAGTGTCCCAAATAGAAAGATATGCTACTCTATATAGTTTTTGAACAGGCGCAAAAACACTTGTGGCTTCACATGCATAACTTATTGTTTTGGTTGCTGTTAGTTTAAATGTGACCTTCAGACATTGCTGCTTTTAATTCATGCTGGCGCAACGTTCCATGCCCTTGATAGTATCAAGACCAGATCAGCACCTGGCACTGACCAATCCCCTTACTTCCCCTAACAATACACATAATCAATCTATCACTCGCAGATGCTTATCACACAGGGAGAGATGCCTAGGGAGGGGGCTCCACCTCAGTTCACAAATAATTGGGGGAGAGAGAGAGATGGCATGAGGGAAGGGGAGATTCAAAGGTGGGTGCTTATTCTGGGGTCTTTGTAAGGGCAAAATGTAGATAAATAATGCATCTTCATCTATTGCACATTGTGTGAAAGATGTGGCAGTTTTTTTTAATGAATTCAGACTAACTGGGCCCAGCTGGAGTGAAAAGCCAGCCCAGGGAGAAGAACTCGGGCTCTAATAAAAAGAAATGACTCACGCTTCATTTCTGCTCACTTATGTTTTACATTAATAGAAACCAATAATAAGAACCAGTTACCATAAAAGTCATGGACCGTAAATAACACAAATGGCAAATACGTATCATCAAATCTCCCTCACAGCTGGACAAGATGACATAGTAGATTTGGAAGTACTTAAAGATATTCTTTATCGGGGCACCTTTACATGTTGCGGTATTCCCTTGCTGAGAGTCCCTTAATGGGATCCATGGAATAAAGGGGCTTGGGTTGACAGGTGTGCTTATCACCGGTTATCTGGCTGTCTAAATGCTTTGGCGGTATCCAGGCGAGTAGGGAGGCACGTTTAATGATATTATTCCATTTTTACAGCAAGTTTTTCTAAATGATCACACAGTGGCAATAAATCCTGGCTTTAATCATGGTTATCTCCGGATCTCTTTTGTTAATTGTCACCACACACACCAGGATGGACATCAACAAATACTTTAAGTTGATATAATATCCTAGAAACGGGTGGTGATGAATATATGAATATAAATGAAGGATTAAGTGTAAGTTTGCTTAAAGACAAATACAAGTTATATTAACAACATTCCATTAAACAGACTACATGTATAAAAAAATCATTTATCTCTCCCTGAATTTAAGCACAATATGGCATTAGTTCACCAAAAATAAAAATTCTGTTAATATTTACTCCAAATCAAATATAAACTTTATCTACTGATTCATTAAAGAGATCTGACTCATAAGAACCATTTGTTCACAAATGACACATTGCTATTAATGAAAACAGCAAGGACAGCTAGGACAAGACTTTCAGTGAATATCAAAAAAAATCAGTGCTTTCCTCACTTATTTTATGTCTTAAGGGCCTGGTTTCACAGACAAGGCTTAGGTTAAGTCAGGATTAGGCCTTAGTTCAATTAGGATACAACTTTTATAAAAAAAAATATATATTACAGGTGTGACTCTTAAGACATATTTTAAGACGTGTCAGTGTCAGTTGCTTTCAGTTAAAACAGTTCAAACATGTGGTTTTAGTCTGGGACTAGCTTAAGCCTTGTCTGTGAAGCCGGTTTTGGAATAAAGCACACAAGTCATATGGACTGCTTTTGAATGATTTTGCACCCCTTCTGAAGCTTGAAAATCCCTTTTTGTTCCAGTGAAGAAAGAAAGTCATACATTTTTAGAATGACATGAGGGTGAGAAAAAGATTTTTCATTTTAGCGTAAACTATTTTCTATAAAGAAATCTTGGGCATGATCTCACCTGTGGCTTTTTGCGAATGGGTGGTAGACGCTCTCTGTTTGGCATTAGATTGGACAGATCAGGAATTATATTAGGGGTCTTCCTCTCTTTGGGAGCCGATCGTGCCAGAAGCGGTTTTACCTTTCTCAGTCTCAGCTCCATTTCATCAGGTTCTTCTCTGAACGGTGAATTGAAAACACCTGGACACTAAGATAAGCATACAAACACAAAAAAGAGTGTTATTTGGATAAGCAAGGTGAACAAAACAATGATATGCTTCTGTTAGCATAATGAAGAGAAAATCTGTTCCTCTACATGGTTGCCCTTAAACTTTGCAGAGCAAACCTCCAAACACATCCTCATGCCCCCTTTAATAACTCATTTGCTAGCAATGAACTGCTAACAGCTTCCATTGTACCTCTCATCATAAGTATCCATGCAAAACCCACAGCAAAACACATTTAGCTTTCAGGAAAAGGAACACACTTTATTCGGTCAACCACAGCAAAACAATTATACTTGTCACCTCCCCTGAATGGACACACATCCATCACTCTGGCATGTGTCATGTCTGCTAGCGTAAATGTCTGCAAGCTAACTATGAGCTGTCTGATCTTACTGTAGCACTTCAGTGATTCTTGGTTTGGCCTGAGGAATAACAGCTAGAATAATTAGTCTCTAATCAGACACTTCCTCATATGTGCTTAATTAGCAGCGGATTTTTTTTTTAAAGCTTTGATACTATATGCTAATAGCTTTCACAGGTAATATGCCTCAGTAAGGCTCCTGCGCCGGTTTGGATAGTGTAGCTTTGGGTGTCACATGGTGGGGGGTACGCCACAAAATCCCAACTTGCCTCGGACTTACAGGAAAAGAGCAATGATGTTGACCCTCGTACCGAGGAACTACATCTATGTCAGCGCAGCCACTTTTGTCCAGCGGAATTTTCTCTGGTTAACGATGAACCATGGGAGACCCATCCATTTCACGGAGACAAGGTCAGACTGTGGGAACATAAGTTGCCCAGCATAGAGACACAGAGTGAGAATGAGAAAATCAGGGAGGGGGAGAGCAGAGTTAGACTTGAGAGAAAGTACTGTAAGAAAACTAAGAAGAGAGTTAAACCATTTCTGCAACTGACAAGTCTGAGATTGAGGTTTGTAGTTTAAATGACTGTCCTTATCAGGATGAATAATGGTCATATGCGCTGTATTTTTAACATTTTCATATGCAGAGGCCCCCCTATAATACAATGTAATTTTTAACTGATCAAAAGTTTGGGTAAAAAAGATTTTAAAAAATTATGATTACTTTTATTTGGGCAAGGATGCACTAATTTTAACAAAAGTGACAGTTAAACGTTCTCTGAGCGATCCTGGGTGTTGACGTTCGGAATATTTTCCTGAAATAATTGTGAACGTGCATTTCTAGCTAATTATATCCTTGTGTGGGTTTGGCGAACATAAGCGTCAATTTAGAAGAAAAAAAAACAATTTAACGTTACCCACCTGTCCAGCAAAAACAGAGCAACCTGAATGTCGGACTGGAAGCCCTTCTGCCGCCGGAGTTCTTGCCATCTTTAAAAAGCTTTGCTACCGATATAAATTCGGAACTTCGCACGTTCTTTATCCGACTCCTTCTTCTTTTTAATTTGTTCCTCAGAACGACGTCTCTTTGGTCGTGTTTCCGCAATTTTTCAAACTTCCCTCTTATGCTTCTCTCTCCTTCACACACACACACACCCCCTTCATGTGCACGCGCACTCACCCCCCAGACCCACCCTCATACTTCTTGCCAGTGATTGGCTGGAACACTGTTTGTTAGGTTTCGTGGTCCGGGTGAGACATGATTGTTTTTGTTGCCGTTTTCGGAGCCTGTGGTGTCTACAGAGACCGCGTTTTTTTACAGTGTGTTTAGGGGACATGCAGCTAGCCGATAGTGAGGAGACGTTTGATGTATGTGACAAAAAATGTTTTGGCCCCACATCGCTTAGAGAACCTTTAAAATAAATGCTGTTCTTGTGAATTTTCTATTTATTAAGCAATCCTGAAAAAAAAATATTTTGTAAAATAAATCTAATATTTTCATTTTTATCAAATAAATGCAGCCCTAATGAGCATAAGATACTTCTTTTAAGAATATTTTAAAAACCGACCCAAACTTTTAAACTTTAATATTGTATAATATTTGTTTTCAGTTCATAAGTTCATAACTAAACATAATTTAAAGTCACCCTGTGGCTTGTTGTTTATGTCTATGTGTAAACTCATCAGTCAACACCATTGCTGAGTATTTTCTCCTTAAATCTGTAACGAACAAAAACGCAGTTAAAAATCGCTGGTGTTTCTGATGTCACAAACTACTTTGTAACCAATCAACGTGTGATCCTCAACAAGTTGATCTCAGAACTGGCACGAGTGAGCGGAAACGGGACTAATTTGCATGTTCATTGAACTGCATATACTAAATAAGGCAAGGGTGTAGTTACTGTATAATTAAGCTATTTTTTTTAGGAAAAATCTTTTAAATTTGTAATTTTTGTAATCAAAGTTTTTTCAAAGGATTTTTAAGGGATAAAATGATCAACTACAGGGGGACAAATATATTATCCAATCATCAGTTTATTTCAAATAATAATAAAAGAAAAATAATATATATATATATATATATATATATATATATATATTTTTTTTTTATTCTAGAAGCATTTCTAGGGGTCCATGACTCTAAATTTGCTAATTAATTTGATTAAAAGTACTACTGTATTGACAAAAGTATTTGTAAATCTGACTATTCTAAATATTTTCAATCAATGGGGCAAAGGAAAAAAAGTACACTGTAACCAGTAAAACCCCAGCCCAGAGCCCACATACCCATATTTTATCCTTATCTCCATTTAAAGCATATTCTAACTAGCATGTGGTCCCTCGCATCTGTTGTCCATTAGCCATTAGCTGATGTGTATTATTTCTTGATTTCCTGCCTCAGACTGCAGGCAGCTGGCAGTAATGTCCTCTTGCCCTGTTCGTGGTGTGGCTGGCACTAAGCGCCCAGTTACCAGAGCACGAACATGGCATGAGCGGAGTGGCCACAGGAGGCTGTGATACCCATAAAAGCATGAAGGAGAGGCGGCAAAATGAAATATCTGCACACCTCACACTGCTGCTGAATCAACAACGGCCAGAGCACTTCATCATAATTATCAAGACACATTATAGCCAGAGGGATTTCTGAAAAGAATATATATATCAGCAAATGATTCCAGCAGTTAGGGGCCTGGTCTTCATACTCCACACTGGCACAGTTCCTTTTGATTCTGTGACCTCAAATAAATGCAAATATATAGTATTTAAGCAGGATATACGAGCATGTCCATCTCATTGATTCGGCACTGACCTGTTTAGTGCTCAGGAGGAAGTGGAGTCTTTGAGCCTGGATGGTTTTCCCTTGCTCCTCTTTTTCCAGAGTGATCCGTTCTCTCTCTTTTCTCTGGAGCTCTACAAATTCCTCTATGTCTCTCCTGAGAAGCAGAACAGTACAAATAAACCCACATTTTTTCTGTAAACTATTGTCTTAGTCCCAAGACATCAGACAATGTTCAATGTGACAAAATAATAGTTTGACGGTATGGATTCCTGTGAAACTTTGCAAAACAGTATTTCTGTTGTGTGTTTGATAATACATTGGGAATCATGGCCAAAGGGTCTTGTTAGGCATGGTATGGACTATACATAAGGTTTGGAAAATTGCAAGGCTTGAAAGCCTATGTAGCAAATAAATTAATGAACAAATTAATTAAAAATATCTAGTAATGAACATGCACAAAATACTTCCTGTTAACTCTTTTGCTCATTATACCGATTACCTCACTTTTCCTGATGCATTTTTCTCTTCCATTTCCTCTCCGTAAAAATAAATCACAAAATAAATCAAATTCGCAGAGTAGTTTAGGCTGTGAGTTTGTTTTCTATGAGGTCACAATGATCAAACGCTTTCTGACCAGCCTCGGTTTCTTTCGCTTGGCATCACGCTGTCTGTGTGACCTTTGCCAACCTATATCTCTCGCTTATTATTAATTGCACTGCAGTGGACAAAAGCCAAATAGATTTGTAACCGTGGAAGGGGATCTCGATCTGTGTCTAAGAGAAGGCTGGGGTAACACATAAACCTCATTAGTGTTGATGGGCCAGTAGGGAGACATGGGAGCAGCTAACACAGATGACCTTTGTGTGTCCTTACACAACACAATCGCTAGAAGCACCCTGGGCCCACTGAATTGCATCCACTTACTGTAGAATCCACCAATCCACCAGGTGCTAATCGCCCTTACCTAGCAACAGCTAGGCCTGTAATACAGTCAAAATATAGGCCGTTTACAGCAGACTTCAGTCTATCCTTTATTTACCTTCAAACATCGCTGTTGGACACTGGTGATAAACAAACATACCCCTCTCTTCACTGCTCCACCTTCAAAACTCACCCTCCAATCCTAACCGCCCTGCTCAGAGTCAGCCTTGAACCCCGATCGCGGTCATGCAAGGCGAGTGCACTAACAATGACGCTAAACAACACATTCCCAAGGATTCGTCAGCGCGACTCTCACTAGCTGGCCTCCATTACGCATACAATCCAAGAGTGGACGTCCGTTTATCATAGCAGAAGCGCAACACACTTAGCTCTCTCCAGCACTATAAAATGCGGTCATAATCCTTCATTTTCCAGTGATTTCTCTATTGTATTGTGTCTCATCTCTATTTCTGCAGCCTTTCTTCAAATCTTCTTCTTGCTCATTCTCTCTCCTACACCGTCATACGCCCCCTAATGCTGATTGGGTAGACACGTTTGTTGTTGTTTGTTTGTGTGTCGGTCCGACTGACTTCCGTACAGCGTTTTTTAAGATATCGCTTACCTCACTTTTAACCTTTTATTTTTTTACTTGTTATTTTGAGTATATGAATATGAATCCGCATATGAAGTATAATTACCTGAGTGCTTTTTGACATTTGTCATAATGGAATTTCAGTATTATCTATAAATTCTCAAATTTCCACTTACTGTAGTTTAATTAAAAAAATATGCAAAGACCAGCAAAAGCCACCAACTAAATAAAAAAAAAATTAAACACACACAAAAAAACAACAAAATATGATTAATTAGGAGAATTTAAATGCTTTTAAGGTGGAAAACATCAAGATCAATTTGCCCATAAAATGGGATTTGGTATCTTTCTCTGTAATGAATGCAGTAATTTGTGTGATTAAGCATATGCATAGCATGGCCTGTGTATTTTGGAGTCTTGCTTTGATAAAAGACCTGCCCTAAATACTATGAAATGTTTATAAAGAAAAAAAAAATTAATAAGGCCTGCAGTTAAGGAGTGAGTTTCACAGATGTCCTTGAAAGGGACACGAGAGCGGAAAAAGTAGCCTGAGCAATGGGAGTCCATAAATTCCCCCTGTGCTTCCAAAGAGTTAAAGATTTGCCATGCTCAAACATTACAGAGAGAAATTTATCTGATTATGGCAGTAATAATTACCCAGCTGTTTATTACAGATAGAGAAATAATTCATGCAGGCAATAGGCCATGGTGGCAATGACACTCCACATTTAGTAAATATGCAAGCCGCTCAGTTCTAATTACTCAAGCCCAGAGGAAGCCCTTATTAAGTGCTGGAACTTTAAGTGTCTTCTTGACAAGTGATAAATTGTTACATTGCACAAACTCTTGCTGTGGAATTGCCGCGGTGAACTCAGGTCTTGACTTCATTAAGGTATGCAGAGAAGGACAACTGAATGAAGATGGACACTGGAACATAGCGAGCCTTGTCGTCAGGCTAGAGCTAATGAAACGACACAGATCGTTTTGCATTGGGAGGAGGGGGATCCTTCACCGCTGGCAGGGAGAGAGAATGAGAGAGAGGGGCCACCCTGACATGGGCAGTCGCTGGCCTCCAATCATTGGCATGCCGGGCTGGTCTGCTTGTGCTAAATGGTAACCATTAGGAAAATTTTGAATAATTTATTCAAGCACCGGAGCTGTACGGATTAAAATCCTGGCACTGAGACCTTTGAGGGGTGACTAATCAGTCAGTGGGTGATCCTGAGCCCAACGTGGAACAGATTGTCAGAATCAGCGTAGTGATCTTTCACTTCACATCTATGACTGATTCATCATGACCTCAGAAGCATTCCATAAACAACTAATTAATGCACTAACAGACAGGGTCTACCAACAGATAGAGAGAGAGGGGAAGAGAATGAGCGAGAGAGAAAGGACAGACAATTAAAAAAAAAAAATGGGATGTTGTTCGTAAAACACAGCTGGACAAATATCCAAAACTTACTATGACCAGACTGACTATTCCTATTTTTTGAAGAAGCAACTTTGACTTTGTTTAATACTAAACAGTTGGATTAATCAGACAATATTTGGGAATTTCTGAGATTATTAAACGAGCCAGTATAATTTTTCTATCTGCCCATATGAAATTAAGTCAACATTTTCATTATACAAAAAGTAAAAAAAAATGTACAGTCTGAATTTTAGACTTTTGTTACTAGTGGATTCCACGGCATACTAACTGCATACTGTAAAACTCATAAAAAAGTTTCCAACATTTAAGACAGTGTAGTACATGATGGTCGAGTGTTTTATAGAGAAATGCAATGTGTTAACGTGATTCAAAGGTGAGAAACCCCATTAAAAGAGAACATTCCTACTTAAAGAGAGGCTGGAGTAGGGAGACGGAGGGAGGGAGGGAGGGAGGGAGCAGGGTGTTGGGAGTCAGTGATCCAAGGAGCACTTAACAGATTTACATTTAATTTTAGCAAAACCCTTAAGATATTTTCCCACAAAATATATTGGTCACATTATAAAAGTGACTTTGTTTTTATCAAAAGTAAAAGATGGCATCTTCCTTCGGCCCCCGAAGCATGATTTTTTAAAATAAATGTGGGGGCACACGCAAATTCAGGGGCTAATTTTAAATTTCATAAAGTTATTAATTTTCAAGTAACTAGAGGCGATTTATGCATGACATGCTGCTAATGTATATATGTCTCAAACATGCCGTTAAAGGCATGACATTCCTTTGTCTTTGCAAGAATTTCAGACAATGGTCATGCTGTGTACTTTATTTGGAGCAGTGTATATAAAAATGTAATTTTAATTCTTCTTACCTGATGTGCTCATTCTTCCTTGTCAATCCCTCCAAATATCTCTTGCGTGCATAATAATTGTGTACATACTTCCTCACATAATAGCCCCGCCATCTCTGCTGTATCTGCAAAAGAAGGGTGATTTCTGATTATGAATAGATGTACTTGATTATTATTTTGTTGCCTTTACAATTCCACTGCATGGCTGATAAAAAGAAGGAATAGTAGTTTTATTTGGAATTGCAAAAAGTATTTAGAAGTTAAAAGACAAATCAAAGTCAGAGCAAATTAAAGAAGTTCCCTGTTGCTTTCGAGCTTGCAGTCATTGTCAGTCCATGAAGAATGAGAGTGCTAGCTAGAGCCACCGTGATGACAGCACCACTGAGGACCCAAAACAAAAAGGACAGATGTCCTTCAGGCTAATTAGGTGCTTAAACAATAGCAGGTAAAAGAGAAAAAAATAATAAGGCAAAAACTAAACAAAACAAGAATTGCCATTGATCAGTAGTCAATAGATAATTTTAAATAAAGTAATTGGAAGCTTGGATTCTGAGTTCTTTGTGACCTCTTGGACTAGTAAAATCAATGATGCATATTGCTCAATTAGATCTAATACAAATCCGGCCTCACTTGTAAACACTGATTTCTATTAAAAGGCTTTTGGTAAAGAGTGTGATAAACACTAAAAAAACCTGAAGCTTCAATGGTTGTTGTTTTCAGCTTTATTGGGCAAGGGTTAGGAGGAGCAATGACCTCGTTTTCTTGCAGATTCTGCAAGGATGACCACAATTGTATAAAGTGACTTTCATTAGAAAACATAATGCATACACTCCCATGAAGCTTTCCAAACTTTAACTTTTCCATCCAACACACCCAGTCTATGCTTGAAACTGATCCTTCAGTGACTGTTTTCACAGTCGCCCTTTCTTTCTTTTTTTTCGTTAAGCAGATTTTTACATTACCGGTGCTTCCCGGACATAGCACTCTATCTTTTACAAGGGCTATAAAAGCTGTCTGTCCAGTTGAGAAACTTCTGTTTGTGTCTAAGTGGTGACAGGACCTTTAGTCTCATTTTCTGTGACCCCTGAGAAGAGGTCAAGCTTCATGTTTCAAATTAGACTCGTATAACCAAAGTGGTTGTGAAGAATGCAGGGTGGGCCCTAGATTTGACAGAAAATATTGCGTATAAATCACTTTCGTGGTTCAAATTTCTTGTGATGTCCAATCATCACAGAAAAATATGCAATCTTCCACAGAAATGCAACATTCTTCAAAAAGCTATGAAATTTTGTAAGACTTGTAAAATTCTTTAAAGGTTTCTCCTCATGGAAAAACAATTGTAAAACTAAAGCTTCTGTCCATACCAATAGCTCTATAAAAGTGCCAATGTATCACTCATATATAAACGTGTTTGATTTATAGGCTGTGAAACAGAACATGCAAGATTGATATTGCTACCTTTTTGAAACTTAGGCCTTATAAAAGATATAAAATATGGTAGGAAATTCTTTCATTTCTTTCTTTCTTTATTTTAAGTTAAGAATTCTCATCAAGGCTGTATTTATTTTATCAAATATACAGTAATAACAGAAATATCGTGTAATATTATTACAATTTAAAATAACTGTTTCCTATTTCAATATATATGGAATTTTCGGGATCGTTGCTCCTGATTTTCTAATATGCTGATTTAGTGCTCAAGAAAATGTCTTATTATCAATGAGAAAGACCAGTTATTCTGCATATTTTGTGGAAACCCTGATACATCTTTTTTCAGGATTCTCTGATGCATTGAAAGTTCAAAAGAACAGCATTTAATTAAACTAGAAAACAATGTAAAGGTCTTTACTGTCACTTTTGAACAATTTAATGCATTTGCTCGATTAAAGTATTAAAAGTACAAAATTCAATTCAAGTAAATACATAAGAGCTATAGAAACATGCCACAAGTCAATGAATATTTAAAAAAGTCATTTTAAAAACACTCAAACCTTTAATATATTTAAATTTTGTGAAACACTTTCACTTTAGATTTCAATGCAGTTATCAAACACCAGTAAAATCTGTTTACAGGTTTTTATTCAAATCAAATGTGTGACCCACTGACTTTTCACTGACTAAACAGCAGGAGAAATATTTACCTTGACAGCCATCTTATTGAAGAAATTCATCTTCATGATAAAATATGCTGTCTGTGAAGAGAGGGAGATAGCATTACATTGTGACTGGGCCCTCTGATGTTTTCCTAACATGCGAGGAATAAAATCCTCTTTATACATAATACATAAAAGTCATGGAGAAGCAGCAGCAGATAAGAGGGTGGACTGGCAAGTCATACTTTGTATCGAAGGGAAGTGCCTGTTCTTAATACATAATGCAGACATGGCTAGGAAAATCTATGGAAGTCAGGCTGGTATCTAATGGAGATGTATGGAGGTAAACTGCTCTTTGCTGAGTTTGATAATCAATGGAATGCAGCTGAGGATGGACCGACTAAACATGTTGAGGAATATTCACAAGACACAAATGATACACTCAATGGGGACACAATACAAAAGAAACTTGATATGAACTGCTATATATGATGGTAGAGGAAAGACATATTTTTTTATTACAAATGACAAGAAATCAGACACAAAATCAGCCTTCTTCCTTTTTTAAAGAAAATATTTAATAAGATGCCATGATTTATTGTCTCACTCCTCATATCATGCATCATTTTCCATATTACACTTACTGGATTTCCTAGAAGTTATGTAAAAAAACAAAACAATATTGTAACTGTACATTTTAGAAAGACAAAATATTAGGCAACCAATTGTTGGTCATGACTGAACATACAGCAAATTAAAAAATAAAATAAAAAAGGAGACAACAACATTTTCCAGAACAATTAAGTCTTATGTAAAATCTATTACCACAAAGCCATTAGGTTTTATTTAAAAATGAAGAAGGGATAAATTAGCACTAATATGTCAGCACTTTTAAAACATGGACGAGATAAAAGCATTCCATTGGAAATCAATACGAATTGTCAAATTACAAACTGACAAACGCATATGTATAGAAGTCATGGCATGCCTGTTAACTGCTAAATGTTAATGAGGGTTATCATAACATAATCAATATTACATGTCTCCACAACTTACCTTTACCCTTTTTCTGAAGAGCACCCGAGCAGTGAAACCACGCCATATTTTTTGTATTAATGTTGCGTTTTTATGCAGGTGACTGAAAAATATAACAACAAACGACAAAGGTGTAATTATACTTCAAACTGATTCAATCAAAACTTCATTACTTTTTTTCAAAAACTGATTTAATCAAAAAGTCCCCTTTTTTTTCTCTCTGCCTGTCCACGGTAGGTCTTTCTGGGGCATCTGTACATTTGCATTCATCATTAACCACCCTCTAAATGCATGTCTATGGCAACTCTGAACTCAACATCGGCCATCAATTTCCAAAAGGCCATTTATAACTCAAAAAAATCAATGTGTATAAGGACGGTGGCAACCCTGGAGCTGCACTCAAGAAGCCTAGATTGCGCTTAATTAGCCACTTAACACATTGATCAATTAACTAAAGTAATCTAAATTAACCTACTGTCTGGGAGTTTGTCTGCTCACTGCACAGAAATATGTTGAGGTTACACACTGTAGCGCCCTGTGCACTGGCTAATTCTTGCATTTAAAGACCAAATGCATTAGATTTAGGTTTCAGCAAGCACTTACAGGTATAAGCTGAGCATATAGAATCATACGCATGTCCTCATTAAGACATCTGTCTACCTATACAATATGGATCCCAAAAGTGTCACGCCTACAGAGAGCAAAAGTGGCCACCAACTTTATTAGTGGTCTGGAAACATTTTTCCTAAAGGGATTTTTTTTAATTCTTCACTAAATAGTTATTATTCATGAACCACACAAACAGCTACAAGTTGAATCATATATTACAAACTGAAGCTAAAGCATATTGTGATTCTCGCGAGATTTGTCGAGGGCGCTCCTCTCAAACTTGTATTGCTGGTTTTTCAAGCTTTACTACCAGGATGATTCACCACCGAGTTTGTTTACCACCGAAATGACTTTAAAGTTGTTATATATAAATAATGCTGTGGAGGGATAATACTGCATATACTTACAATAAGTTATTCCTTAAGAAAAATTTTAAAATGTTTATTTCATGATGATTTTTGATGGCATAGGGACGTTGACTTGATTTCATCATTTGCATGTGAATCGGTGGACGCAAAAGAGTTGCAAGAGATGCAATTTGTTTTATTGATTCCCTAATTGGTGGAGATTTCCTTTGGCAGAATCATTGATAGTTTTTTTTTTTTACCAAAAATTCCACTGCTAATTGTGATTATTTAAAAAATAAGTTCAAATAATGAGGGCTGATCGCTTCCTCAACAAAAGCATTTATCAGTGATCTCATAGCTCACACTAGTTCTGTTTTTTTTTTTTTTTTATTAAAAAAAAATATATATTGTTAAATCATTTCCTGTAAGGAGAAAATGAATAGGATTTTTAATTCCGGACCAGACTGTTGCACTCTATTTAAATGAACTGTCCTCAGATTAGCCAAGTATATTAGCCAACTTTAAAAAATAAATAACTAAACTTAGCATAAAATAGAATGAATGTTTGAATAAATGAATAAAGGGAATAAACTCAAACCTGACTGCCTCTTATTTTCCCTCTAAAAACAAATAAATAAGTAAACCTGAACTTAAAGAGTTAATTCTGTGTTTGTACACGATGACAAACTGATCAAATAGTCAGATGAAATGAGATCACAAAAGCTGTCTTACCTGAGGTATGCCCTCACCTGGCAGCCCCGGAACCAGCACTGAATTCTTACTGCAGCCTCATTCTCTTTCTGTCTGTTTTCCTCCGCGATCCTGTGACATGAGAGGCTTTCATTGAGTTCAGTGTGTTCATTGAGTAATCTGTGTTATCTTATCTTCAGTAACGGTTATGTGTCTTTGATATTCTTATCTAAAATACAGCTGTGAAGAAGGAACTTCTTGTTCTTTCCTGCCTACATCGACTGATACAACACAACAAGACAGGTTTCAAACGTAGAGAATTGAATAATTCGCTTTATTTACCTGTTTCTGATAAAATATTGCTTTTTGACGTTATCAACTTGACTGTAAAGTTTCACAAGTCTCGCCATGTTTCCGGAAGTTTAAAGGTGTCCATGACAACGGAAAGGTCCATGTGCGCGCGCAGCGTGGGGAGAGCGAGAGCTCAGAGCTCGTCAGTCACGCGCAGTGGTGGAAGTTGAAGTGCACGCGTCCGTCCTTTCTAATGAGCGGGATGTTCCAGCAGCTGATTTGAGTGAAATGAAGGCTTATCCCATGGCTTTATCATGTGGTAAACAGCTCTGTTCTTATTTTGTAAACATGATTTTTTTTTTTTCAAAACATTCTCCAAAAATAAATAAATAAATAAATAAAATAAAAAATACAACAACAAACAAACAATGTTCACATTTTTGCCTCAAATAGCCAAACTATACGCGTAGGGCAAATTAATGTTTGTTTGTTGCTTGTTATTAGTGACAAGCAACGTCAGTTACATGCAGACTGGAGTCACATTTATTTAATAGGTCATAAGTATATAATGAAGTACTTTACTTTTGCATACTTTACCATAACATTTATTTTAACGTGTATTTATTTAGTTTCTGTGAACTAACTGGTACAAAACAAGTCTTTTTTTTGCAAATTGAAGGCTATATATTTATTTAAATCCTTGGTACATTGATAAAATCTTACTGCGAGAGAACGTAACATGATTTGGAACAGATCCTTTGAGATAACTGGCATCTCATCTGTTCACAAAACACTTCTCTCTGTTTTTAGATATTCTGTCTGGTTGTGATATAGGCAAGATACAAGACGTCTTGCGAGTTCCCAGCAATACAGATAACCGCTGACAGACGCCAGCCAATTTGCTGTCCCGCCACACCAGAGCAGAGCGTTAGAAATATGGGCAGAGGAGTGACCCTTTGGCTGTGTCGCCCATCCATCCGAACCCGGTGGTGGGCTGGCCACCATGGTAATTGCCTGCGAAACAGTGTTTTGACAAGCCAGACGGGTGTAAGCCATCATTCTAGCAGCACAGTGATGAGGTGTCACCTGGAGAGAGCCGTTGAGAGCCCACATGTTTACATGCAGCCAGGTGACCCAGTTTTGCCCTGCATCAGAGCACCACTACATTCTTCACATTGGTTTCACTTCTCTAGATCACACTTTACTGATTATGTGAATCACTTTGAATTGGTTGTCACTGCTATAAAGGCATCAAGGTTGAGGGGGTTTTCATTGTCTGTATTGATGCTTCTCAAAATAGTGCAACATTTATTTATTTATGTTTTAATGTTGGATTTTTCATATCTGTTGACTGAAAGATTCTGAAGGATTGTGCGCTGGTACAAATTTATGAAAACAAAAGTGCTGATTAATATGCTATATTTGAAATGTAACTCTCAATATTATCCAACAAATATCAGTTTAGCCACATAGTGAAACACTCCATTCAGGTACCACATTTCTGTTGTTCACTCTAAAATGCCACACATTTTTCCTTTTACTCTGACCGTGTAATTGCAATGATGGCCGCTATTGCATTTGGAAGATATCACCTTCCTCCTCTCCTTTTGTTTCGCTTAAAGGATAAAGGTGTGACTGTTCTGCTGCAAGAGAAAATCATATTTTTATTAGCTGGCCTTTATCTGGGGAAAAAGGTAATGAATTGAGGATTGTGTAAGATGGTTTAATCTGCAGGTGTTCTATCATTATTTGCAGTGTGGTTCCACTGAGACAGCAGTAATCCATTAAGAAGGGGGCTGATCCTGCGAGGGGTTTGATGAAGTTGAGGCTACTCTGCCCCATGCAGAAGGGCATTTAGTGCTGCCGGCCCCACTGCTAGTGTGCAGGGATATATCACTGTTTCATCATAGCTCTCCTTTTCTTTACTCTCCAAACAATCTGCAATGTGTGACCAATGGAAATGCTTTTTTTTTTTAGTCCCCTCAAAATATAATCTTTTTATTCATCGCATTTATACAAAGCTTAAAAATCTGATTACGCTTCAATTCTATATGACTTTATTAGAAACGTACACTACCATGCATGATGGGATTATCATGCAAGCTATAAGTACACTGTGTACGTACGCCTGCTGCTTATTATTATAATCAGGTAATTCATGTTATTTTCCATCCTCCTCCTATTTTGCATTTCCTTTCTTCCCCCTTCATCTTCTCCTGTTTTCTCTGGCAGACATAATATCAGCTAGAGGAGTGCTCCGTTTCATGTCCTGAAGAAAGGCTTAGCTCACGTTTGATTGAGGTCTCTCCCATCTCACACGGGCGCTGTGTTTGTGGATACGGTGCCAGAGAAGCAGATGCAAGGGCCTATTTGATGGCGACAAATAATAAAACGTATCATTTGTGTTTGCAGTTTCTCCTCCACTGTATCAGGCGCACAGATGCTACCATACAGTTTTATTTGCCAAAAATCATATGGACTGTAGTTAATGGAATAGGGAGTGTTTGCCATCCAATTTTGAAAAGAGCTGAAGAGAAAATAAATCAAGCCACGTTGCTCGCTGTTATCTCGCTTTGGCTGTGAACGTCCACCGTAAGCACAAACTTGCTTCTTTTTATCGTTCTACCATTCATCTGTCGGTTACGCCTTCATCTCTCTATTGAGTCAGACTGTTTTTGTTTTGCGGCTGTTGTGTTGTTGTCATATAGATATTGCCTAGAGGCCATGAAAAAAAACCTAATTTAAATCCTCCTGGGAAATGTTACACCGTAGTTGTATTTCTGAGGTGTTTACTTCCACTCTAAAAATCCCTTTGGAAGAGAGGAACGTAGAACTTGAAACATTTGCAAAAAGTAGAATGGCTCTGTGTTGCCAAGATTAAGCAAGACTTTGATTTCTGGAGCTCGCCAGTGCCAGACTTACTGTGTTGTTGTCATTAATAGCGGTTTGAGAGTGAATGAGACTACACGTCTCCTGGGATTTTGCTTGTCACAGTGTTGTTTGGGTTTGTGAATTTTATTGTCATACAAATCCCCTTGTATGCACTTTTCTTTTGTCTATAGTGTACTGTACTTGCACTCACTGAAACATAAAATGACATTTCCTTCCTGCAGGGAGAATCTTTCTGATGTTAAAAACATGACAGTGCATTTATTCAAACATGGCTGTGTAGTGTGATCGGTAATCAAATGTGAAGACTTTGGTTGTGACTTTGGTTTTGATTATTTCAATTTATGTAGGGCTGAGACTGTCTGAGGTAACATAGTTCAGTCTACCTGACTATTATTAAGGAGAAGCAGTTTCATCCATTAAAACAAGACACGGCCAGTCAATACAAAGATAATAATGTACATGATATATAGATCTGTAAAATAAGGTAAAACAAAAACAAGAGAACAAATTATATATATTTTTATATAGTCTTAAAATCTATACTAAAATGTATAGATAAATGAGCGTGAAAGAACAACATTGTATTTTTATACATTTATAGGAATTTACACATTTATATAAAAGTAAAAAAACAAGACTTTGTTTTTTACTTATTTACTTGATTATAATATGTTTTAATTAATTGATTTAAAAAAAATGTTTGTAATTTGCCTAGAATTTAATCTCAAACTGAGTAGTATACATACAAAGCTATCCATCTTATGGATGGGAGGGGGGAGGGGGGGGTAGCTCTCGTAAAGACCTTGACCTATGAACTCTGGCCTGTTTTAGTCATGGTCCAGTGAACTCCATCCAGGGCCTGATCCCATTTCTAGCTTTTTGTTTGCTTCATTGCCCACCTGAGCCAAGCAAAGGATTTGTTGCCTGTTTACTTGCCTCTATATCAATGGCTCTGTCCACTTTTATATGAGCTATTACTACTGAAAGATTAGTTTTCATGGGCCTGATGACATGGGACTTAAGTAAGTTGTTGGTTTAAAATACTATTTGACACTGAAAAGTTTTCTGCTTTCACTATCAAATCAAGAGAGTAAGTGGAGCACAGTGGCTGGACACAGGCACTCTTGGAGCAAAATGGATTTCTGTTCAAATAGACCTTGGTGGGTGTTTTGTCATTATTATGGACTGGACTAATAGAGTGTTTTTTCTGGTCAGTTTTAGGAATAGTGGTCTGTTTAAATCCCAAATGAGTATTTTGATATTCAGATAATTGAATATTAGCCTATATTGTAAATTGGGTGTCCATTTATTTTATTTTGTAGACATTTAGATCCGTTTTCACAGACAGGCCTTAAAGGAGAACTCAGGCGCAAAATGAACCTAATAAAACATTGGTACCTAGTCAACCGTTCTCTGAGATTAGTTTTCATGATATTCGAATGTAAAGAGTTTTATCTCTAAAAACTGTTTAGATTATAACGCTAGTATATGGGGGCATATAATAAGTAAAAAGAAATCGATAGTTGATACCACTAACAAGGCTCAAAATAGCCCCACTGTAACATAATGAGGGTCCATACATGCAAAACGAAGCATTGAGAACTTTATAAGTGTACAGACCGTTTAATAAGAATATATTATATAAAGACAGTCCACTTCGTGTATACTGGCAGGAGCCATGTTTGGAAAACAGTCTCGACAAGTAGAACCACGAACGCCGTTCAGTTCAGAAGTTCGCTGAAATTACAGTTCAGCCTTCGACTTATCGAGACTGTTTTCCAAAGATGGCTCCTGCCTGTATACATGAAGTGGACTGTCTTTATAAAATATCTTCTTATTTAACGGTCTACAAAGTTCTTAATGCTTCGTTTTGCATGTAGGGACGTGCAAATTTGTTACATTATGTTACTGTGTTAGTGTGGGGTATTTTTTTTATACTAGCTTTATACGCTAAACAGTTTTTAGAGATAAAACTCTTTACATTCGATTATAATGAAAACAAATCTCAGAGAACGGTCGACTAGGTAGCAATGTTTTATTAGACCAAAGGTTCATTTTAAGCCTCGTTTAGGCCTTGGTTAAATTAGGGCATTTAAGTAGCTTTTATAAACATTCTTTAAGAAAAACAATGGCACTGATATATTTTAAGATAGGTTAGTACAAGTTTCTTGCAGTTTAAACATCTCAAATAATTGGGACTAGGCTTAATTCCTGTCTGTGAAACCAGGGCTTTTGTTTGAACATCAGAATTTGCAATGCTGCC